GCAATGCAGCCAGTCTTTCTCATTAATATCTAAAGCGTCAATTTATATTGTTTATAGAATGACTGGCAACTATATTGGAATAGCCAATTTACTGTACCTGGTAGCCTTTAATTGTTCTGTAATATGGGTCAAGAAATAACGATGCTAAAGCACATGTTTGAGCAGTTCTATCCCATCCATCACTACAGTGGCATAATACTGATGCATTATCCATTAGCATTGCCTAAAAAATATAACATTACAATCTGCGTCACTTTAAAAAACAAGGTAATCCTTTAAATCTGAATTTCGTCTTGTACCGACGCGATACTAACCAGGGCAATAAATCTAGACGTATCAATTACTGATCTAATATGCTTAAGCCAACTACTACTATCTAAAGAATCGAAAAATTCGCCAGCATTTAGCGCAGGATTTTCTATAACTAGAAGACACATTAATTACAAGTTAGCGATTGATTAGCATAAAAAATTAATGATATTCACATGATCGTGGAGTAATTGGCTAACCTTCCGATAACTTTTGCAAACTCTCTCGCATAACATGAATATTTTGTATTCCACGAAATCGATATAGAACATTAGGATAATTGTCCAAATTTTCATAACCTTTGCCAGCAGCCTTATTCGCCATAGCATTAATCTAAATTCAGTCCATAATGCAATTCTTAAATAAGTATAGACATCAATAAATGATAATATAAGTAAATGACATTGGTCGAATTACCTTAGGTCTGGTATCTACTATATACATAACAGGAGACTTCGGATTTGATTGAATTACAGCCTGTAATAATTGTTCATCATCTACGCTTCTTCCCCGCATTCCTGTTAATGGCTGACTACTGCGGCATAAGGCAGTCTACGTGCAAGAATTTAACATGTACTGAAAAATAACCTTACGAATAAATTGTCTATCAAATCTATCAGATCGAGTAGTCTAGTACTCGCTAATTATTAGTTTAGATAGCTTTAACAATAATAAAACAAAATTCTACCTTGTTGTATTTATGGTAATAAGTCAAAACGGGTAGTCTACCTCTGCTACGAAAAGATGCACTACCGGTTAGAGTCTCTTCTGTAGCTGTCGCTGGCACATACAAGACTTCAGGATAGGTTGGACATAGCTACACAGAGTATTTACAACACCATTACATAATCATGTTATTCAGCGATTGCTAATATAATACGACGGTAATAGTTTTAGATCATAAGCGAAGAATCAACTCTACATATGGTAGTAGCTAAGGAACAACAACGTGTGTACATTAAATAGATTTATGATCGCAATTTTACCTTATAATCTTTATTAATATCTGTTTTCCTCCACAAATCACTCGGTACTTCTAAGCGAGCCATTTCAGCTTCGAATTCGAAAATATTCCATCCGTCAGATCTAGGCCATTTACTACCAGGAGGTTCGTAAGTAAAGGCGTGCAATTCCGCATAATTTACTGAGGACGATAATTTTAAACAAGTAATTTTAGGAATTGGTAGTAATTACTACGCCTAATTTCAATTAATATTTCTACATTAGTAAACATACCTGGTTTTGTTAAATTTTGTAGTGAGACATAAACGTCTTGACAATCAGGCTCCTTGTAGAAGACAAAGTTTAGGACACGAAAATCTTTACAGACAATTTTTAGTGGTGCTCCTTTAATACTAATTTGCTGCTTCTCCACAGTAGCTATATGCGAGTAAGATAACTAAAAATATAAGAAAATTATCACTGGATCAGTTTGGCTGATACCATGATGAAAAATCTGATTTACCAAAATTGCACTAAAACTTTACTTTAGCAATCACTCAAAGGTCTATTTAATATAATTGATCCAAAAATGAACAAGTTAAAACTAATGTTGCTATTAATCTAATTTATGACAAGTATT